GTAATTACACGACAATAACCTCTCAGCCTTAAGTGTTTCTGATAACTCGCAGGAAAGCCATTTGGCTCAGCCTTGCATGCACAAAAGGGCTGGAAGCCTGTGGACACCAACTCCAAATGAAGTCACACACGTGGTCACTGAGACACTGACAGGGTGCAGGAAGGTGTTCAACCACAAATTTAAATCTGGAGCCATCCTGGACCTGCTTGCCTGTAGGCACTACAATTTGATGTCCACTTTAAAATCCTGAAAATGTCTTGTGAACAGCGCAGACTGCTTTGTATTTTTATGTGTTGACTACATTAATTTATCATATGTAAATCTTTGATTTACCACCATTTTATTAAAAAAGAAACAAACAACCAAAAAATCTCAAAAGACCCTAGAAGCATCCATGCCTTGCTCTCCAGGTCCACCCAATAAGGAAGGGAGAGCCTGAGCCAGATCTCCAGGGCTGCCTGGAACAGGTATGCGCCTTCCGGCCCCTGACGGCCTTTCACGGATCCTTCCCTCACCTCCCACCCCTAGTTGTCATGGGAGGAACCTCAGTCTTGGCATCACTCAAAGTACCTCTGAGCTGTCACATAAATGTGCCCAATCTGCCTCAAGGACTTAGACAAGCCCAGGACAGGCAGGTGGATGCTAAAGCAAGATATGTATTCCAGTGTGAATAAATCAGCTCTAGGTATTAGTCAGTAGTGACTTCAGCGGTCGTCCAGATTTCCAGAAATTCTGATTCCAGGAATCCTGGATAGGGTCCCCCAACATTACTACCACCCCAGGTAGCAATAGTGTAAGAAACAGTCCCTGGGAACATCTGCTCCAGCTACCCACCCCTGCCCCCCAGCAGACTGGCAGCTGGATGCCTCGTACATCAGGCAGCCAGAACAGCTGGTGCAGCGCTTGCCACCTCAGTGCCTGCCGTGGCTGGATTTACTACATGCCCACATCACCACCTATTGTGCTCTGGGAAGGGGGCTTTCCACTGATGTGCTCATGCACTAGGCTTGAGGGGGATTTGGAGAGCAGGAGAAATTTCCTCTTCCCCAGCAAGGATACATATCCTCCTAGAAGGGACCCAGCCTTTTTCTTGTGAGTAGAAGCTCTGAGCCTCTTAAGCTGCCTCCTCATTCTCATGCCAGGGCCCAGCTCCATCCTCAGTGGATCACTCATAGGAGGGGCCCTCAAGCCCCAGATGCACGTTATGAAAAGCACAAAGGCAGGCACTAATGTCCAGGGAGGGGCTGCTACATGCACTGCCCCAGGGCCAGAAACAGGCAGAGCAGGGCTAAGACACCTGCCCCGTCAGGTCGCTAAGGTTCAGGCAAAGGAGGGAGACACAATGGCAGGAGAAAGCACAGACCCACTGCTAGCTCACAAGATGTCTCTGCACACATTTGGAAGGTGCCTCTGGGCAGACGTAGCCCACATCAAGATGCGCGGCGTGGTGGGTAGAGAGGCTGGATTTTAGCCCTCGCCTGCCCCCTCTACCAGGTGCCCTTGTACAGCGAACCTCTGGAACAACTGTTAGGTAACAGCCCTGGAGAAAGCAGCAGAAGGAGACAGAGAAGAAAAAGGAAGGCCGCGTGGCCATTCAAGGCACAGCACAACTGCCTCTTACTCTCTTCCCACTGGGTCCACACAGGAGCCCCATGTAGACCGGCCCCCGTATCGCCACTATAGCCATCCCCAACCCTCCTTCTGTCTAGATTGTTCACATCCCATCCGTCCTTCAAGGTTGTTGGAGCATTCTTCTGCCAAGAAGCCTTACCTTTGGGAGGTACGCAATGCTCTTTAGATCTGCTCCTTCATAGGCCCTTAACATGTCTCTGGGCCAGTGTCTGGACACCTTTCTATAGCCACGGCTCCCCTCCTTCGAGACCACAGGCTTGCCTGACGCTCCGCAGGGCATGTGGCACAGGCAGCATGCAGTGGGGCACTCAGTGCGTGTGTGTTGATCGAGTGTGATGGAAGAACATGGAGTAGGGGCTGCAAGGACTCCTGAGTCTGCTCCTAGTTTGACCCAGTGATCCCTGGAGTAACCTGGAAAAAAGACTTCCCCATCTCCCACCTCAGTTCCCATGTGTGAGGTGCAGTAGATGGATGAACAATCTCAAAGGGTTCTGCTGGCACTGAACCTTAGCTTATGACACTCAGAGCCCACAGTCCCCATCAGCCAGGTTCATCATCCCTGTCACCCCCTGTGCCCACCACAGTGCCTGGACCACAGGAGGCAATCAACACGGTCTATGGGTTGCCTCAAAATAAAACAAGAATAAGTCTCTATGCTTTGGCAACCTGAGCATTTAACTTGATGTTTTATTTACAGAACCACAGACACTGACCCTGGCCAACTCAAGCAGAACATCCCCACCAGGAAAAGGCCTACTGTGGGAGTTCTCACGCAACCAGCAGCACAGCTGGAGAACTGGGCTCAGAGAACAGGCAGAGGGAGACCAGAACCACAGCTGAGGGCAGGGCCAGGGAAGAGTTTAGTCAGGATGTCCACTGGCTCCTGGCCACCTCTTCCCCCGCTGGCCACTGGCTCTTCCAGGTTGTTGCCATGACACAAGTGACCTCTGAGCTGAAATTCCAAGTGGGGCATCTGATTGACTATACTTGAAATCACAGGGCCACACCCTACTGTTAGGAATGGGGAAGAGGTTCTCATGCATTCAAATTCCTCAATAGGAAGGTTCTTCTGGCACGAGGCAGCCAAAACACTGACAAATACCTATTCCATTGATCCTGGCTAAACCAATTTTCTCCTCCAGGAATTTGAAAAAGAGGTTGTAGCGGGTTGAACAGTGGTCCCTCAAAAGATATATCCATCCAGAACCTCAGCGTGTGACCATATTTGGAATAAGGGTCTTTGCAGGTGGAACTAAGGTAAGGATCTCAAGATCATCCTGGACTGGCCAGGCCCTAAGTCCAACTGCAAATGTCCTTACAAGAGACAGGGAAGGCCACATACAGCGAGGAGGCAGACACTGGAGTGTCGTGGCTGCAAATCGACAAAGGGCGAGGGCTGCCAGGAGCCACCAGAAACCAGGAAGGAGGCATGGGATGGATTTTCTCCAAAAAGGAGCCAGTCCTGCTGAAACCTTGACTGCAGACTTCTGGACTCCCAAGCTGTGAGAGAATAAGCTTGTGTTATTTAAACCACCCAGTTTGGGGAATCGCGTTATGGCAGCCCAAAGAAACAAATACAGGTCCCAGAGGTGTCAAAGGCCAGGCTGGAAGGAGTGCACAGGGGCCGTGGAGAAGCTGACACAGAGAAAAACAGAGGCCTGAGGCAGAGAGAGGACGCCCGGCTCCTGCTGGCTCACACAAGTCCCCAAAGCCTTTGAGGTCCTGAGATGCCCCAGCATCCACTCGCCAATCACCCTTTCCTACATGAGCTGGTTGAAGCCACTTTCTGTGACTTGCAAACTCTCAAGCCCTTATATCTGACTGTCCCTATCCTTACCCACAGGTCAGGGGTACATGCGGGGCTGCAGCAGGGGAAGGGAGCAGGCTCCGTAGAGTCCCCGGAGCCAGAAAGCAAGCGCTGGTCAGTCAGCCAGGCGGGCACTGCCTCTAGACAGCACGCCTCCACAAAGCAGCCAGTGCCCAGGTGGCTCTGAGGGCAGCAGGCCTGGCACCAGGCCTGAAGCCACCGCCTAGATATCACGACGAGGGGGACAGAACTTTGCTGAAAGATGCTCGTTTTGTTTGTAATACCCCATCCCGCAATCCGGTGCTGTTCCTTAATGACTGTTTCCCCCCAAGTATGAAGTTGGGGGATGTCTGGGCCTCTATGGCTTCAGAGAGAGGGTTGGTGACCAGAGAAAAGTGACTCTGGACATGGAGAATGAGGAGCTGCTGGAATAGGCGAGTTTATGACCAAAGCAAGAAGGAGGTTGGGAGAAGGGGTTCCACTATATGCTCCCTGCCTGCCATGGGCTAGCTCTCCCCCCGGCCAGGGAAGACGGGTCCCCTTGCCGGCCCCCCACCCCGGCTGCAAGCACCGTTCCAAGAGACTCGGGGCAAAGGTGTCCTCAGGGGACAGGGGAGGACAAGGTCTCAGGGATGCTTGAGGTAGGGGGTTCTTCTGATACCTGAAGAGTCTGGGGTGGAAGTTGCGGGGGGCGGGGGAAGAAGGAAAGGGTGAGGCCAAGACTCAGCTCAACCTGGGAAATCTCCTGATCCTTTTTTCCGCACCCCTCTCCTTGTCCCCCAGGTAAAGACTAACACATTCTTTCCTGTTTCTTCACCAGCCTGGCTGGAGCAGGGGCGCCTATGCCCGCCCTGTGCTCGGTGGCTCTCGCGGGAGCCACGCTCCTGTCTATCTGAAAACGTTTCCCCCTCCCCGTTCTGAGAACGTTGCACAACGCAACCATTTATCGGGTGCTCTGTCACCAAAGCACCCTGCCGAGTGTCCCAGAACATCACCATCTCCTATCATCCTCCACAGGGTAAACGTGTGCCCCACTTTATAGATGGGGAAAGTGAGGCTCAGAGAGCTTAAAGCAGCTGCCCAAACTCCCGTGGCAGCTCAGCAGCCGGAGAGGGGATGCGAACCCACACTCCTAGCCGGCTGCAGGTTTCTGCGACTCATTGCGCGGCTCACACTTTCCTGCCCGGCCCCGCCTGCCCAAGCCGCCCCAGCGAGGGGCGCGCGGCCGGCCGGCAGGAGCGTGCCTCTGCCGCTAATCGCCGCGCCCCGCCCCGTCTCCCCGCCTGGGGACGCCCGGGCCGGCTCAGCCCGAGCGGGCCCCGAGGCCGCGCGACGCCGCCGATTGGCCGGCGGTAATTACGGGCACACTCCGGGCGGGGGAGGGACGAGGGCGGCCTCCCGCGGGCATAAATTATGCAAATATCCCGGCGCCGCACGGGGCTGACCTGCCGCCTCGCTCCATTCACCCGGGCTGCCGCGGGGCGGAGGTGGCAAGGGAGGGGGGCACCCATTGTTGCGCCGGGTACTTAAGGGGTCCTGAGGCCAGTCGTGTGCCACACTCGGTGCTCACACGAGCTGATCTCATCGCCGGCGACATCACTCGGGAGACCGGCCGGGCGCGTGGCCCGTGCAGGCGAGGCGAGGAGGCGAGGCCAAGTTCCCCGTGCGCTCCTCAGCCCTCCCAGGCCCTCGCGCCCCCAGCAGGCACAGAGTAACCCCGGGCGGTGACCGTGAGTGCGCCCCGGTGGCCCTGCCCTGTCGGCCCAGGCTCCTGCCCTCCGAGCGCCATCCCATCCGTCAGTCGGTTCTGCGCAGCGCCACGATGCCCGCCCCTCTGGAGACCACCTGCCTCTCAGACCTCGACTGCGCCAGCAGCAGCAGCGACCTGCCGGCTTTCCTCAGCGACGAGGAAGACTGTGCCAGGCTCCCGCCGCCAGCCTCCGCCTCGGGGTCGCCTGCGCCGGCCCGCAGGGGCGCATCCGGGAACTCGGGCGCCTCCGACGCTCCCGGGGCGCAGGACGACGAGCAGGAGCGGCGGCGGCGCCGGGGCCGGGCGCGCGTGCGCTCAGAGGCGCTGCTGCACTCGCTGCGCAGGAGCCGGCGCGTCAAGGCCAACGACCGCGAGCGCAACCGCATGCACAACCTGAACGCGGCGCTGGACGCCCTGCGCAGCGTGCTGCCCTCGTTCCCCGACGACACCAAGCTCACCAAGATCGAGACGCTGCGCTTCGCCTACAACTACATCTGGGCCCTCGCCGAGACCCTGCGCCTGGCAGATCAAGCGCTGCCCGGGGGCGCCGCCCGGGAGCGCCTCCTGGCGCCGCAGTGCGCGCCCTGCCTGCCCCGGCCGCCAAGCCCCACCAGCGACGCCGAGTCCTGGGGCTCCGGGGCCGCCGCCTCCCCCTGCGCCGCGGCCGCGTCGCCACTCTCTGACCCCAGTAGCCCCGCCACCTCCGAAGACTTCGCCTACGGCCCGGGCGACCCCCTGTTCTCCTTCCCAGGCCTGCCCAAAGACTTGCTCCACACGACGCCCTGTTTCCTCCCTTACCACTAGGCCTGTGTAGACACCGTTACCTTCCGCCTCCCTCTCCCAACAGGCAATAGATGGGCCCCAGCTGCGGCCCCCACTCCAGGCGGAGGGAGGAAGGGGAGCGTTGAAGACGAGGGGGATACCTGAGCAGCTAGTCGGCTCCCGCTCCCTCGCTGCGCTGCCTCTCGGTCTGTCTCTCCAGCCCTCAGCCAGGCCCCCCTGCCCGCCCCTAGACGGCCTTTCCTTTTGCACTTTCTGAACTCCACAAAACCTCCTTTGTGGCTGGCTCAGAACTGACCTCGGCCACCACTTTAGTGTGATTTAGAAAAGGGACAGATCAGCCCCTGAAGACGAGGTGAAAAGTCAATTTTACAATTTGTAGAACTCTAATGAAGAAAAACGAGCATGAAAATTCGGTTTGAGCCGGCTGACAATACAATGAAAAGGCTTAAAAAGGAGAGACAAGGGCGGGCTTCATGCATTATGGATCCCGCCCCCACCACTGCGGCTCGCTCTAGGAAGAGCTGAGACTCTTGCTTAGCTATTCAGGCACTGGGCTGGAGAGTACTTTAATTTATTCAAGATGCTTCATTCATATGAAAATGTATTTTTGTATATAAAGAGTTTATTCTATTATTATGAGCTATCAAAGTTTACATTTTTGTACTGCAGATGCTTCGTGTAAATAAAAACTAAGTAAAAAATAAGTCACTAAGTTTCTTGCCTAATGTTAGTGTCTCTGGGGCTTTTCTTGCCTTCCTCCGTGGCTCAACCACTAAAGTGAAACACTATCCCCACCCACCTCCAAACCCTCAAGTCCTGTTTCAAAAACAATTTAAAAAAACGAGACGCACCTGATTTGCACCAAGAACTGGATAAAGACGGACTAGGCCATTCGGGCTCCATCATTTCCTGTCACCTTGTAAACACAAGGGAGATCTTTCAGGCTCCCCATAAGCCAATTAAGACTTTTTAGCGGGGAATTAGCCCCGGATAGGCAGCTACCTGTAGAGGTAGGGACGGTGGGAGAGTCTTTCTTTTGAGGAACTCCACATCAGCTGGCTCTGTGTTTCAAAGAGAGGGGATTAAAAAGATCAATACAGTGTGACCACTGGTTAGGAAGTCCCAGGGACAGGTGGGCCCAGGCTAGCAAGCAGAAGGGTCCACTCTTATAACAGCCTATTTAGAGGGGAAATTGATTTGTAAACAATGCCTCCAAATTGTTGTCCATTGAGTCTGGGGTCACCCTGGCTGTGAGGTGTGGGACGAATTATGCCGGCCTGGTGTCCTGAGTGGGACGTGCAGCTGCCTAAGATTGTGAGCTAGGGTGCCTGCACCCCACAACACACACATCCCCCACTGTGACGCACAGTGAGGGGGCATGCAGAGGGAGGGCCCGGGTGCTGGGCTTGCTCAGCCAGTCCTCAGGGGCAACAGCCAAAGCTTTCATTTACTGCCAGAGAAATCAGCCATCCAAACTCGGTGGGGATTTTTCTGGCTGCAGTGCGTTTGTCTGTTGTCTGACAATTAGCTAACACCACTGCTTGTAGCAGCTTTTGTTTTAAATTTTAGAATGTAGATAATTACAAGAGGGAGTTCCTAAAATTCTGTCACTGCCTATTTCCCCAGCTCACAAGTTACCCTACACTAAGACAACATTTTTTTCCACTGGGTGCTTCTTTTCATGAATATAATTATTTCGTGGCAAGTTTTGGGGGGAGGGTGGGAATGGGTTCAGGAAAATGGATTCCGTAGTGTTAGAGAAACTCTATTCTTTTGGGAGGTGGCTAGAAGCAGAGGGCCAGAGTAAGGCCACAGACAGCGTGTTCCCCTTGCAGAGGTATTTTCCCTCCTCACACACACTGTGGAGGTGAGTTGGGTCCGCAGGTTCGAATGCTGCGTCCCCACGGGCATCAGTAAGCCCAGCCATGGGCAAGGCACCCTCCTTCAGATAGAAAGGCTCCTTTCTAGAAGATTCTGAAAGATGGGTGCCTTCTGTAATTATTCCCAGAACACAGACAAACAGTTCTCCAAGAAAAGCTCCAGAAATTTTAAGGGCTGAGAATAGAATCGCTTCTGCTAAAAGCTCCAACGAAAAAGTTGGTCTCTAAAACGACCCAGCCTGGGATCCCACTCTACTGTCTGTCTCAGAATTATGTCACTAGCTTTGCATTTTCCTAGAGCAAAAGGCACAAACAGTCTGCACCAGATGTCCTGCTCTCCCTGCACAGGATGCTTAGAAGTGATTCCCTCTTGCTTTCTGAGGGGCTCAGGCTGGGAGGTCCCCCATGGAGAGTCTTCAGCTGTTGTGTAAGTGCACGTGTCTGGGACAGAGGAAGAGAACAACAGATTGTGTTTATCATTGTCCACGATCCTTGGGAAAAGCATCGCAAACAGCTGGAGCAGAAGCTCTGTCTCATACAGCTGCACATGGCCAGTGGTGAAAACAGGGGGAAACACCATCACCACTCAAATTCCCAAGTTTTTTGCCACAATAAGCTCACAACTCAAGGTGCAAGACCCAGAGCACCTTTCTATAAAGAAAAGTCTCTAACGACACCATTTGTTGGGGGGGCGACTCCATCCCTGCTTGTTAATACTACTCTTCTAAGGAAGCAAGCATATATTGCAGCCCTGGAGCTCTCAAATAGGAGAAAAGAAGGAAGGTGATTTAAAATGCTTATCCCCAGCTCAGAGGCCTCTTTCTTCCTGCAGCAGCTTCTCATTCATCCACTGGCATCGGCGAGGGCAGAGTGGGGGTTATTAAAATATCCTCATCGATGATAGAGCCCAGAGGTTTCTGCTGACAGTAGGGTCTCACTGTCCCTAACACAATCTTCCACTAAGGAACCAGCAGGCACTTAAGAAGGCTTGTTTATTCTCTGCCTTGATCTCTTCATTTGTTTTTGTCCTGGTGTTCCGTATGTATTTTTATACACTGCTTGCCAGCCTTTGAGAAGCAAGGGAAGTGAAGATTAGGATGACATAGTATGAAGATTTCACTCATTCTTTAATGACTCTTTGTCAAGCCCTTGCTATGTGCTAAGCACCTTTCTAGGCACTGGGGTGACCAAGACAGACAGTGTCCTTGACCAAAAGGAGCTTACATTCTAGTGGGGAAAGACAATAAACTTGTGAAAGATTGTGGTAGGTACTGAGGAGAAAAAAATAAAGCAAAATAAGGTGAATATGGAATGCCAAAGTGGCAAAGAAATTACTCTTGTAAAATATGGTCAGGGCAGCTCTTTGAATGAGGTTACATTTGAGCAAAGGCCTGAATGAAGAGAGGGGGAAAGCATCCCATGACAGTATGGGGTGGGGGCGGAGCAGGGCATGTCCCAGGGAGAAGCCCAGCGATGGGAAAGCCCTGGCCAGGCACAGTGCACTGCAGCCCAGCAGGGAAGCTGACAGAGCAGGAGCAGAGGACCAAGGAGAGACAGAGACGGGGCAGTGAAATTCGCCTTGAGCCTTGTAAACTGTTGTAAGGACTGGGGGTTTTTCTCAAGGCGATTGGAGGCTTGAAAGCAAAGGAGTGATAGGAATTGCCTTATACTTTTAAAGGCCACACTGGTTGTGATGTGCATGGTAGACTCTCGGGGCCCGGGCAGAATCTGGGACCCAGCCAAGCATCTGCACATTAGTCCCAAAGAAAGGCGGTAGTGGTAGAAGTGGTGGAACGTGGTCAGAACCAGGGCATGGTTTGCAAGTAGAAACACCAGGATTTGCTGTTGAGCATGAAAAGAGAGAAATCAAGAATGGCTCCAAGAATGGGGGTCAACGAGGACACAGAACCCGTCCCACCAATGCCAAAGAGAAATGGTTATCCTTGCATGAAGTACTCGTTTAGCACCCAAAGCAAAGTGGAAACGTGAGTCTCGGGGCCCCTACGGTGAAGACAGACTGGTGTGCAAGAGAGCCGTAACTCCGCCTGGGCTGGGACCTAAGCAAAATGCCTCAAAGAAAATTCACAATGAGGGTAGGGGCAGGAGCTTGGGATGTCCTGGGCAATGCCCTCAATAACATCATCGTCGTCGGCACCATCCTGGCTAACACTCACGTAGCACTTACTCTGTGATCCACACACTGTTCTAAATACACTACACACATCCGTTCATTTAATTCTCACGGCACAAGAGGCTGATAATAGCATTATCTCCATTTTACAGGTGAGGGAAGTGAGGCACACTCCAGTCACTTGCCTGAGACCACACAGCAAGTAGGCTGTGAGGCTGGGATTTGAACCCCAATGGCCAGGCTCTGGCATTCCTGCTGTTTCTTAGATTGTCGCTCAAGGAATAACAATGAAGTGCAGCCAAGTAAGAAGTATTATGGGCCACGGGCTTAGCTGAGAGTTGACCCAGGAGTAAGCTGGATGTAGCAGGAGGCAGGGCAGCAGCTGCCGTGTGGGGCCTCGGGCTGAATGAGGACAAGGGCACATCCCCCCACTGTTCTGACTGAGGTGGGAGAGAACCAGCCTGAGAGGCTTTAAGGGCTAAGCCTGAGTTCTCTGGCAAAGACCAAGAGCGTCAGTTTGCAGGACCAGCAGAGCTAAGAGCCTGGTGGCATCCTCTTACGAAAAATCAATCTCTTCGCCAATCCACATCTGGCTAGAAAGTCCTGCACATCTTACCAAGGCCTAGACTTCCTTTAGAAAGTGTTGCTGGGGTTGCTCCAACCTCCGCCAAGCAGGAAATCAGGGCCCCAAAGTTTAACACCAAAGAGACTAATGGTGAAAATTTTAACCTAGAAGATGTTTATGGTGAATTTCACCATTACCTGCAATGACCATAAACCGTAATACACCCAGGTACATCTCACTTTATGAGCTGTCACTTCCTAGAGAAGCTCAGGACCAACACTCGGCTCAAGCACTGAGCTTACCTGCTGCTTGCTGGGCCGATGGCCAGGAGCCAGGCCCAAACTTTGTTCTTTATGCCAATGTATCATTGTGTCTCTCTATTATAGAAGCTACACCTTACCCTAATTGTCTGGGACCTGCACAAGAGCATGCTATCTGCTGACTC